GAAGGGCCAGGTAGGTGAGGTTCTGGGTGGGGGCTGAGACCCATAAGGAAAGGCTGAACAGAGTTCATAAAAACGGTACAAGACGGGGCCAGAACTCACAGAGCGGAGATTGAAAAGGGGGCGAGCACAGTTGTGGGCGGAGTTCTTGTTATGGGCGGGGCCTGGTGTGTGAACTGAACTGACTGGGGCGGAGTCTGGGCGGGGCCTGAGAGGGCATGGGCGGATTTAGGTGTCGTTTTCTAGGGCATCGGTAAGGGGAGTGTCCTTACCGACGTGCCACGTGGCCATGCCCCGGCCTGAGCATCCCCACGCCTCTCAGGTCCATGGTGGTGGCCTCCTAGGAAGGCAGATAGGGGCGTCGACCTGGGACCTGATCCTCAGCTCGGAACCTGTCACCACCGGCCTCAGAAGGACCCCTTGGTCGTCTGCTCTGATTGGAGACACTCTGGGTGTGGAGTGGTGGTCTGTATTCGCCAGAGGTTCATGGAATGGTCTGTTTCCTGTCTGCTCCATCACTCCGCTTATAGTTGAGTTGTTTTCCCTAATTTCCAGTTGTGAGAGTTCTTTGGAAACACCCTTCTCAGACACATAGTTTGTAAATATTGTTCCTCAGTCTGTGTGGACTGTCTCTCCATTCTCCTGACAGTTTTCCCCATAGTTTTAATTTTAATTTATGATTTTGAGTGTCATTTGTAAGATGTCTTTGCCTGAGGTAAAGCCACGGGGTTTCATAGATGTACAGATAGGCACCGGAGTCTGGGTTTGAATTGATCTGGGTGCGTGGTGTCAGGCATGGTATATGAGCAGTTTTGTCTGAGTGTTGAGAGGACCACCCTTTCTCCGGTTTGCCGAGAGTTTTGTTTGTTTGTTTGTTTGTTGTTTTTAATCAGGAGTGGATGTTGGATTTTGTTTTTACAAATCTGTTAACATGGGATTATAGCAATTGATCTTCAAGTGTTAAATTGGACTCTGGGGATAAAGCCCACTTTACTCATGATGCTATCTATGGTCTTTGTATGTAGTTGAATTATTTAGCACATTTGCAAGTGCTGAGTTTTTCCACCGTAACCTAACGTTTTGTTTCACTCAAGAGTGTTTCCATCTCCTCTGAGCTGTCTCATAAATGAGTTTATAATACACCCCTATAGCCCTCTCAGTGTCCACGAAGTATGAGTGATTGGCATTGTTCTCACATATGACTCCTCCAGTGGCCTGCACTTTCTCTCTGATAATTCAGCATAAAAATGTATTGGTTGGTTGTTGATCAGCTCGAAACAACAATTTTTGGCTTAAGTGGCTTCTCCATTATCTCGTTTTCCAGAGGCACTCCCACTCATCCTGTTTCAGCTGCATCCCAGAAATTTGGATTTTGTTGTTGTTGTTGTTGTTGTCATCAAGTTTAAAATATGCTATAACCCCTCGTTCTACTTTTTTAAATAAATATTTGTGTGTGTGTGTGTGGTCAGGTGAATGCCACCCACGTGTGTGGATGTCAGAGGACAACTTGAAGAAATAGGTTCTCTCCTTCCACTGTGTGGGTCCTAGGCATCAAACTTGGGTTCTCAGGCTTGGCAGGAAGCACGCTTTTCCCCCTGAGCCATCTCCTCAGCTCCTAGCCTCTCTCTTTTTTGATCTGTGAGTTTAACAGTATGCCATTCAAATTCCAGATGTTTGGAAATTTCCCAGCACTCTTTCTGTTATTACTAATTTAATTAGATCCATTGTCAGAAGATATAGTCTATGTTCCAGGTCCTCTTAATTTTACGGAGACCCGTTTATGGTCCCGAATCTGGAGACTTTGACTAGCATGCACTCTGAATGTGTGTTCTGCTGCCCAGTGGGGGTGTTCTGGGCCTATGGGATGGAGACTGCTGGCTACGTTATAGAGAAGCTTCTGGAATTACCAACTTGCCTGCTTGCTCTAAAAGTTACTGACATGTGGAGAATGAATCCCAAGTTATCATTGTAGATTAGGGCCATCAAGACAGCCCAGCTGAAGCACCTACTGAAGCCTGAAGGCCTGGGTTCAATTCCCAGAGATTCGTGTGTTGCTTGGCAGGGAAGGTGAATCAGACTACCTCCCTCTGGGTAGCTAGGCCTCCTTCCTGGGAACCAGGCTGTCTCCACTGGCTCAGACCAACCCAAAATGTGTCCCCACACCGGGTTTACTGGGATAGTCTCTGGCCACCCCAGAGCTTGCATGCTTTTTTTTTTCTTTGTTCGCAGTGGTTCAAGTTGAGTCCTGGGCTTTTCCAAGAATAATTTTTAGATAGATTGATCATCCTTGTTGTAGAATATTATCTTAAGGTGTGTTACTTTTGTTTATGCTCTGGAACATTTGTTTAATGATGCAAAGATGTGTTGATTAAATAAAGTCCACCTGTGGTCAGGAGGCTGGGTCAGCAGCTAGCTGACCGGAAGTTGCTGGGAGGAGTCAGGTGGAGAAGGGTTTATAAGGAGGGATGAGAAAAAGCACAAGGACTTCTTGGGAGACCCGAGGAGGTGAGCTAGGGGAGCTGCTTGCTAGTCAGCCTCTATGGGAAGCAGGATTCTACCTCAACCTTTGAATCTTGAGTTCTTTAGTGGGCCAGGTATTTAAGTAAGTTTCCTTAGTAGCTTCCAAAGAGTTAGTGACCGAGGGAACAGAATTCCCTCAGGTTTCGGCTCTTGCAGCCTAGCTGCTGCTGGCAGTGGTGGAGTGGCAGTTGCTGAATAGGATAGCTGTGGCATAAAAGGCAGCGGCAATTAAGAAAGAAAAACAACCAATTGGCACTTGAACTGGTGGTAGAACCACACAGAAGGAAGGGTCACTCCAGCGGCCTCTACTGCATTTGCCATCTGGAGCTCTCAACCGCCGGCTCTCCTGAATCTGCCATCTGAACTTCTCCACGATAGCAGTCGGCTGCCGCTTACCAGAATTGGTAAGAGAGTTGAGAAATTCTTTAGGGGAGCAGGAGAGAATTACTGTTGAAAAGAATTGTTTTTCTGTATTAAGGATGGGAAACATAATGCGGGGTGCTAAGGCTCTCTCTACTGCTACCTTAGAAGGCTTGAAGTTAGAAGCAGAATGAGGGGAAATTAATGATTTAACTGACACAGATATAATACCGGCAATACTATCAATATGGTAATTAACATGTTATCAATAATAGCTTGCTGGGTTTTTGTGCTAAATATGACAAATGTATTAATAGGATGCAGGCCCTGGAAAGATCTGCTAATGAAAAAGACAAAAATACTCAGACCCAGACAGAGGAATTTAGAGCAGAATTTGCCACATCATTGTATTGTGAAACTGGAAAGGAACGGCCTAAGGTTATTAGAGGGCCAACTTTAATATATCCGGTTACTGCTCAAGAGCAGCCACCAGATAATATGCATCCCCAAAGCTACGCAGAAGTTAATTGGAATCCTGTCGATATGCTAGACTTAGAGTTAAGGAACCAGTAGTTTCATATGGTATGCATTCACCCTTTTTTTGTTTTGTTTTGTTTTTTGTTTGTTTGCTTGCTTAATTTCACATTGTTCAACAGGGTTTTTTTCTGCAGATTTTTTTTTATTTGAATTAGAAACAGGATTGTTTTAGATGACAAACCCAGTTCCCTCTTCCTCCCCTCCTCCCCTACCACCACCCCTCAACTAAAACCCTACCTATCACATATCCTTTCTGCTCCCCCTGGATGCTAAGGCCTTCATAGGGTGTCATCAGAGTCTATCGAATCCTTTGGGATAAAGCCTAGGCCCACCTCCATGTGTCTTGGCTCAGGGAGTATTCCTCTATGTGGAATGGGCTCCCAAAGTCCACACCTATGCTAGGGATATGTACTGAACTACTATAGGAGGTCCCGTAGATTTCCGAGGTTTCCTCACTGAAACCCATGTTCCTGGGGTCTGGATTAGTCCCACAGTGGTATCCCAGCTATCAGTCTGGGGAGCAAGAGTTCCCCGATGTTCAGGT